GTGAGCGCGCGTGCGCACCGAGGACCTTCTAGAAGGGCTTCGCACGAGGCGGGGCTGGAGGTCGCGGCGTTCGCCTCCAGCGGAGGGCGACTTCTAGGGCAAACCTGGCGTTGGGCCTGCGGCTAATCATAAACATAGTAGTAACTCATTATAACGGGCCACTCTTTGTTGAATACTTTTAATATTTATTGGCTTGTTTGGTCTTCACACACCCCTTCTTGAAAGGTAGGTGTTTTGTCCTCATTTTAGGTCTGAAGAAACCGAGGGTGCGAGAGGCTAATTTACCCAAGTCCAGGCAGGCCGGGCCGGACGCCTGGGCCCGAGGCATAACTGAGACTCCCCGCTGCCGCTGCTCTCGTAGAAACTGGCTATTAGCCCAGAGATGTTGCCGGAAATAGCTTCCAGCCTCCTTTCCCACTCGGTATGGCTAAAGGGAACGTTAACATAGGTAAAAACGAACAAATAAATAATAACCCAGCGATGCAGTGATTATGGAAAAGGCCGGCCGAAACAGTACTCCTTGGGGGCCCAGACTCACATCTGGCGCCGACGCTTTGCTCAGACCAGGGAGGTTTGTAAAACAGCTTAGAAAAGGCCCAGCAAACCCGGCTGTAAACGGGCACCCACGCCGGCCAGGAGGAGGCGGAAGGGACGCCCACGCCGGTGAAAGGAAAGTACAGCGGGAATCAGTTGAAGGGCCCTAGGGCCGCCAGCAGAGAAAACCATCAAGCTGTTTTGAAAGTAAAGAAATAAAGCCATTTTTGTTATTTTCCTGAAAGAGATGTAGACTGGTGTTGATAAATGCTGTTTTATGTGCAGATAAAAAGCAAAAACGAGGCCACACAGCAGGGAGGGTCAGAGGCTACCGATGATAAAAGGGACAGGGAGGCCTAACAGCCGCTGGACAGGGGCCAGAGAAGAAAAGGCTGCTGTCCTAGCTTCAGTTTAATAAAAGGGTCTGCCCTTTCCTGCGCTTAGACTCTCCGATGCTTACAAAAGTATGCTTTTTAATGTAACAGGCTATCTGAACTTGAAATGTAGGAGGAAAAAACCCCCAAAATACAGCTATTCAGATTTACATTAAATATAAGAATTAAGCAGATGACTACAAATCGTTCTTTTTCTTCTTTTTTTTAAATCCAAGCTTTGCTTTTTTCTTTTTAATATGTTTTATTGATTTTTTTACAGAGAGGAAGGGAGGATGGAGAGTAGTTAGAAACATCGATCAGCTGCCTCCTGCACATCTCTTACTGGGGATGTGCTTTTTTTACAGAGAGGAAGGGAGAGGGATGGAGAGTTAGAAACATCGATCAGCTGCCTCCTGCACATCTCTTACTGGGGATGTGCCCGCAACCAAGGTACATTCCCTTGACCGGAATCGAACCTGGGACCCTTCTGTCCCCAGGCCCACGCTCTGTCCACTGAGCCAAACCAGTTAGGGCTACAAATTGTTCTTATTCCATTGAGTTCAATAGTCTCAAAGATCTTGAAGAATTAGTTACTTATCTGGATAAAACCATGAGAATTTCAGGAGAGATTTCCTCATGCTTTTGAAGTGCAAACCTTGGAAAATCTTGCCCAGTTTCAGGAGAAATCGAGCCGTGAGTTTTTACCAAGAAGACACACCGTTCTA